TTTTTTTAAAATAATAATAATAATAATAAAAAGCAGACAGTCACAGCCCGAAGGAGAAGATAGACAAATAAATTACAACATGGCATGTGATAAGCAAGAACAGAAGATGTACACGATACAGAATGAGCTCATGCAAAAGCTGATTAAGACTCTACGTGAGGAGAAGATGTATGTACAGATTAGAGATACTTCTTGGTGTAGGGTTTGTCAGAACTTGATTTTGTAGATGAATATGTTTGTTAGACTGAAAAGGAAGAGAGAATGCAACCAGAGGAATTAAAAAGTAAAGATACCAAGATGTGAAAAAGCACCATGAGTCTGGGTGACTGTGAAGTGCAAAATTACAAAGATAGAATGTCCATAGGCATTTTGTTGTTGTTGTTAAGTGCTGCTGAGTCGGTTCTGACTCATAGTGATCCTGTATAGGATTTCCAAGAAGTGGCTAGTGGGTTTGAACTGCTGACCTTGTGGTTAGTAGTCCAGTGCTTATCCTACAGTGCCACATCAGGACTCCATATACATTTTAGGTAAAGACATAAAAAAAGTTACTGAAACTAAACTTCTGCTTGTGCCTAGCAATATAGCACACCATGGGAATACAGAAATGAATGGGAGACAGTGATCAAAAGCTTATCCTCAAGAAGGTCACAGCCTCAGAAGAACACAACTGCAAAAACCATGTGGGGACCATGTCTGACTTCCCCTGGCTTCACAAGAGGGAAAGACAATCAAACTCAAAATCAGTACAAGGCCGATTCCTGTGAAGTGGAAGTCAGACATGCTTCTACCCTAAAACCTTCTTTATCTTATTCTGACCCCAACTATCCCTCCCACAGCACTCTGCTTCACATCTAGGTTCAACATTCCATTCCAATGGTCACACAAAATTCATAACAATACTCACGATTATGGGGTTTATTAGGGAAGTGAACAGAGTACAATTCAGAATCAAAACCAACTCAGGACGCAGCAGTTCTCCAGTCAGGAACGCCTCTTGTCTGCCAGACTGTGGACACACCTCACTCTTGTCTTCAACCTTTCATCCAGGTGGCCCTTTGGCCTCTACCCTGCTTGGGCAAGTGTTACAAAGTTCTCTTAGCCAGCACATTTTGCAAGGCAGTCTCCTGCCTGTAGGTACTCAGCTTTACTCAGTCCGTGGTCCTAGAGCCCAAAGCTGCTCCCTCCATACCACCACTTCTGTCATTATCTCTGCTTTTGCCTCTGCCATCACTGTTTCTCTAGGTAGAGATCTCATGATTCACTCATGCTCTTCATTCTTAATGGTCCCAGGATCTTCCATCTCTGCTTCTGAGACAGCTCCTTGGAATCCTAGTTGGAGGGCAAAACTAACCAATCCCAGCTTTAGAGTCCTGTATGCCCAATCACTTGTTGGGAATTAAGAAGGTTTTGGATAGGAAAGTCATATCAAGTACATTCAAAGCACCGCACAGATAAAACAATTATAGTATGATGGGAAATGTGTAAGAACATGCAAGATACAGAAGCATCACTACCAACGAGATATGTAAAACTATGGACTTTGGGAAATGCAAGGAGAAGATCAGAAAGTCTTCCTGGTACATGTTCCACCAAAACCAGAATTTAAAGCTATGTCTATTGATTTTTGAATGGCTTACAAGGACAGGAAGTGCATTCTAAGCAGAGGAAATAACACATACAAATTCCTGAAGGCATGAAATAAAGTATTAGGGAAAATATAAAGAACAAACCACAATGCCTGTGTTCAGGGGTATATTTTCAGCACCAAGCTTTTAAAAATCATCCAAACTAGATGGTTAACACATTTGAAATACAAAATATAAAGTCAAAATCTATACATGACAAAAAATATGATATCATTTTGATGTTATTTACAAATAAAATAAAAACATGTAATGCCTCTTTAAATAAAACAGCAAACTGATCATAATATAATAATCAAGAAATCTTTATTACAGATTAAAAGCCAAAATTGGAATTAGTTTATTTGCTTTAAATTTAATTTTATAAATAGATTATCAGTGGTGTCATTGTTGAGTTATGAGTGCATTTCTATACAAATTTTTCTAATTTTTCTATTTTTGTTGGGTAGTTACCCTTTGATTCCTCCTAGCTCTTGGTTGATAACTTTGACAAGATCTTTTTGAACAAGTTTTGTCTTTTGATTTTATCACATGTAGATTTTGACTGTGGTTTTCATTTTTATTCAATAGGAGTCTTTATTTTGTTTATTTCATCACAGGTTGATGAAGATTCTAATACATGGTCACCTGAATCAATTTCAATATTGTTGTGGTCATAATCCATTTAATCTCAGACTCTGAAATAGAGTAAGATTTACTCTTGGAACTAAAGTTACTTTGTCGATAAATTTCTTCTATCTTTGTTATTGTTGTTAAGTGCTGTCAAGTCAGTTCTGATTCAGCAACCCTGTATAGAGTATCTGAGGAATGGCTGGTAGGTTTGAACTGCCGATCTTGTGGTTAGCAATCCATTGCTTATCCTATAGCACCATACCAGGACTCCCTTCTATCTCTGGGATCATGTATTTTAAATAATACTTTATAGATGTGCATGCCTTAGATTTATTTGAAATTGTAATGCAACACATAAGTATCTTGTTCAAGAAGTTTTGTTATTTTGTTTTGTTTTCATCAAAAATTAAATAACTGAGGCCCTGATTTGATCTTATACTGCAAATAATTTAGTAATAATGAGAGAACATGCACAAAAAGATGAATATTTAATATGTGAAAATAAGACACTGTAATGGAATATCAAGCACTAGTATTGCTATTACTGGGTATAAACAAGTTGATTTATTCCCCTTTGCCCAAAAAACAGGATATGACAGATGACTTGGATCACTACACCAACACCTACCAGATCTACTATAAGGATCCCAAGGCATGTCAGGAATTCCTTGGCATCTCCAAAGTCATCAACTGGAAACAACATTTGCAGATTCAAAGTAAGAAGAGTGAAATGTGTGCTGTTTGCCGGACCCTCATATCTACATTTGTATATTCCCCTACAATGGTTCCCTAATTCCATCAAGTCCCATATTCAGCCTGCTGTCCAGTCCTTGTATTAGGTGCCACCATCTCGTCAATGGAGTCAAACTCAAAGTCTGTAAATTATGGGATTGATATAAGAAACTGTAATTAATATACTTTCTTTATGACTGAGAGTTCATAATATATTCTAAATACCTGTCCAAGATCCCTTAGGGGGTTGGATGTGCGAGAAGAGCTTCCTTCTGGCTTTCTGCTCCTGGAATAAAAATGGTAGCCATTCTACCATAGAACACTTCCTTATCACCAAGGATAATTGCTGTGGTTACAAACATGCCCTCCATCCCCACCCCACCCAGAGTTAGATTCTCTAGAATGGCAGGCACTCTTGTTCTGTCTTTTATTAACTGTGTGGTCTTGAACAAGTGGTTTATCTATTAGTTTCTTTATATATAAAAATGAAAGTATCTAAAACATAGGGTCCATGAAAGGATTAGAAGAGTTCCTAGTGAAATATTTGGGCTCATGGTGTGGGACTGTAGGATAAGCACTGGATGCTAACAACAAGGTCAGCAGTTCAAATCCATCAGTCGCTCTGAAGGAACCGACTTGATGGCACTTAACAACAACAGTGAACTGTTGTATGTGTTGAAGCAAGCTTGGCTGCTATTTTTAAAGCATTATGACTCCTTTAATGTCATAAATTCCTTTGATTTCTAGATTAATTCTGTTTTGCATAAGAGAAAACAGACTCAGTGAGTGACTCAGCCATGATCACAAAGTTAATCGCAGTTGCATTACAGGACGGAAGAATTTGATCCCAATGCTTACATTGAGCACCTCCTTGAAACATCTAAATGGATGATTGCATCTCTCTACTTTAATTCTTTCCAGGTTCACAATCCAGTCTGAATGAGGTGATAAAAAATCTTGCAGCCACTAAATCCTTCCAGGTCAAGCAAACACAACGCATTCTTTATATGTCTACCCAAACAGCAAAGAAATTGGTTCCCTCTCTGCTAGAAGCAAAGAACTTATCTTCTGAATCTGTCAGACCCAAGGCCATGTGAGTGTGATAAAAAAACCATTCAAATCTCTCAGTGTGGATGAAACATCTTAACTTCTCTCTCAGCTTTGACTTTTGTCTCCCTGTAATCTCTTTTCTGGGTAGTAACCAGGTTGGTCATTTTGGAACCTAATGTGAATTTTGTCATTCGCCTGCTTACAAAACTCCAAAGTTTCTCAGCTTACTTTGAATATAAACTAAACTCCTTAACGTACCTTGAAGACCCTACATGACCATGCGCCCATCACCACTTGAACCTCTTCTTATCCCTCTTGCTTTGTTACTTGATCCTCATGTACTCACTAGTGCCCTCCAGCCATCAAAAACTATTTACTATTCATCTGTCTAAAATGTCCTTCTCTCCCATCTTCACTAATTTGACTTTCTCGCCATTCAGACATTCAAATGTCATTTCCTCAGAGAAGCCTTCTCAAAACACCCTATCTAAAACTTCCCCTTCCCTTAATTCTTGATCACATGACTTAATTTTTATTTTCTTTATTATCTGTATCGTTAACTGAAACCAGCTGATTCCTGTATTTATCTATCTCTTTGTTGTTTGAATCCTCCCCAACCCATGGAAGGATAAATGTTTTCTATCGTGTTCATCCATATATCCTTAATAGTGAAAGCAGTGTCCAGCATACAGTAGATGTTCAATGAAGACGTACTGAATGAATTCACATCACAGAACAACAGGTTTTCAAATGAGATTTTTAAACAGATTGTATGTAATACCCACCCCTTCATTGATTTCCAGCTGAACATTTCATACAACTGAAAACTGATTGTGGGATTTGATCTGGAGATGTTCAATCCCAGGGCCCTCTCATACAACTGTTGTTAAGTGCCATCAAGTCCTTAACAACTCCTAGGATTTCTGAAGAGCAGCTGGTGGATTTCAACTGATGACCTTGTGACTCAAAGTCCAGTGCTGATTCTATGGTGCCATACTAGAAGTCCTTCATACACCTTTGCTTGTTGTTCTTAAGTGCTGTTAAGTAGATTCCAACTCATAGTCACCCTGTACAGGGTTTCCGAGGAGCAGCTGGTGAATTTGAACCACCAGTCTTGTGGTTCAAACAGACCTTGCAGTCTAGTGCTTATCCTACAGTGTCACACCAGAACTCCTAGAAGAGTTTTATTCACAACATGAAAAGCACCTCCACATCAATAATCTCAATTATTTTGTCCACCTATAAGATAGACAGGACAGAAGGCATTATCCTTGCACTTTAGTGCTCCATAAATCTGTGGACACCTGCACATGTGACTGGCCCTTTCTGGACTTTGCTTTCTCATAGGGGCCAAGGTGTCTTTCACAGCAATATCTTAAGATTTCATAGTCTTAAACTCTGGCTTTGGAGTCCTGGTATGGTACTGTAGGAGAAGCACTGGACAGCAAGATCAGTTTGAACCTAAAGGTCTGCTGTTCAAATCCACCAATGGATCCTTAGAAATCCTAGACAGGGTCACTATTAGTTGGAACCAACTCAATGGCACTTAACAACAAGGGTGTGATCTAGGGGCCCTGGTTGTGCTTGTCGGGAGAAAAGACCTGGTGATCTGGTCCTATGAAGATTGGTTGTGTGCCGTGGAGTCAGTTTCGACTCATAGAGACCTTGTATTGGATTTCCAAGGTTGTAAATACTCATGGGAGCAGAAAGCCTCATCTTTCTCCTGCAGAGTGGCTGGTAGATACAAACCGCTGACCTTGCTGTTAGCAGCCCAACTCACTATGCTAAAAGATTGCTGTTCTGTGCTGTTGAGTTGGTTCCAACTCATAGCAACCCAGTATAGGGTTTCCAAGGATCAGTTGGTGAGCATGAATCACCTACCTTGAAGTTCAAACCGACTTTGCAGTCCAGCTCATTAACCCACAGTGCCACACCAGAACTCCACGCTAAAAGATTACAGCCTGGAAACCCTATAGGGCAGTTCTACTGTGTCATACATGGCCACTTAGAGTTGGAATTGATTTGACAGTACAGAATAACAAAAGCCTGTGACTTGGGACACTTGATTCTTTTCTGTTTATCTGTTGTCTTATCTGTAAAGCTGGAGGGATCTTTCCTGCCCTGACTTAATTGTTGTTGCTGCTGTTAAGTGTTGTCAAGTCAGTTCTGAGTCATCGTGACCCTGTATAGGGTTTCCAAGGAGCGGCTGGTGAATTTGAACTGCCAACATTGTGCTTCAAACCAACCCTGTGGTCCAGTGCTTTGTTGTTGTTGTTGTTGTTGTTAAGTGCCATTGAGTTGGTTCTGACCCATAGCAACCCTGTATAGGGTTTCTGAGAAGTGGCTGGTGAGCTTGCACTGCTGACCTTGCAGTCCAAACTGACGTTGCAGTCCAGCACATTAACCCACAGCACCACACCAGGACTCCAGTGTTTTGTGAGTTTTTGCTGTTAGGTGCCATCAGGTCGGTACTGACTTATAGTGACCCTATGCAAAACAGAACAAAACATTGTCTGGTCCTGGGCCAACCTCACAATTGTTGCCATGCTTAAGCCCATTGATGCTGCCACTTTGCCAATCCATCTCACTAGGGGTCTTCCTCTTTTTCTCTCATCCTCCACCTTACCAAACATGATATCCATCTCCAGCGACTGGTCCCTTCTGACAATATGTCTGAAGTATGAGAGATACAATTTGGGCATCCTAGCCTCCAATGAGCACTGTGGCTACACTTCTTCCAACACAGATCTGTTGGTTCTATTAGCAGTCCATGATACTTTCAATATTCTCCTCTAACACCATAACTCAAATGTATCAATTTTTCTATGGTCTTTCTTATTCACTTTTTTGCATGCATATGAGGTTATTGAAAATACCATGACTTGGGTCAGGCACACCTTAGTCTTCAAGCTGACATCTTTGCTCTTCAACATTTTATAAAGGTCTTGTGCAGCAGATTTGTGAATACAATATGTCATTTGATTTCTTAACTGCTGCTTCCATGAGTGGAGAATGAAGTCCTTGACAACTCCAATCTTTTCTCCATTGATAAGAATGTTTATTGGTCCAGTGGTAAGGATTTTTGTTTTCTTTACATTGAGATGCAATCCATACTACAGGCTGTGCTCTTTATCTTCATCAGTAAATATTTGAAGTTCTCTTCACTTTCAGCAAGCAAGGTTGTATCATCTGCATATCACAGGTTGTTAATGAGTCTTCCTCCAATCCTGATGCCACGTTTTTCTTCATATAAGCCAGCTTCTCAGATTATTTACTCAGCATACAGGTTGAATAAGTATGGTGAAAGAATACAACCCTGTAGCACACTTTTGTAAATTTTGAACCATTCAGTGTTCTCATGATCTGTTTAAACAATAGCCTCTTGGTCCATATACAGATTCTTCATGAACACAATTAAGTGATCTGTAATACTCATACTTTGCAATGTTGTCCATAGCATGTCATGATCACACAATCAAAAGCCTTTGTGTAGTCAATAAAGCACATCTTTAAATATCCACTTTCTGATATCTTTTGCTTTCAGCCAAGATCCATCAGATATCGGCAATGATATCCCTCATTTCACATCTTTTTCTGAATCCAGGTTTAACCTCTGAAAGTTCTGTCAATGTCTGCTTGCAGCTGTTTCTGTATTACCTTTAGTAAAACTTCACTCTCATGGGATATCAAAGATATTGTCTGATGATTTCTGTATTCCATTTGGTGAGGTCCATGTATATAATCATCTCTTTTTTTTTTTTTTTCTTTCAATTTAAGGTTTTTATATATAATCATCTCTTATACTGTCAAAGAAGGTATTTTAAATGAACAAATCATTGGTTTTGCACAATTCTATCATGGGATCTCCAGCATCATTTGTATCACTAAGGCCATATTTTCCAACTACTGATCCTTCTCCTTTGTTTCCAATCTTTTCATTCCAATCACCTGTAATGATTGATACATCTTGATTGCATGTTTGATCAATTTCAAACTGAAGAAGTTTGTAGAATTCTTCTATATCATCCTCACTAGCTTTTGTGGTTGGTGCATAAATGTGAATAATAGTGGTGCCCTTCTAATGCATTGGAGGGTCACAATTATAGAGTTCTACTGTTCGTGACTCTCTGGGTTGGGCAAATTGTTAAGTGCTTGGCTACTAACCTAAAGGTTGATGGTTTGAGTACATTCAGAGGCACGTGAGAAAAAAGCCTGGCAATTTTCTTCAGAAATATCAGCCATTGGAAACCCTGAAAAGCACGGTTCTTCTCTGACACATGTGGGGTCACACCAGGGGTCAGAATTGAGTCAATGACAACTGGTTTGTTTTGGGGAGGTTGTTTGTGAAGCACTGCTCTAGGCACTTGTCATGCAATTGCTCTTCTAATTTATACATCTTTTGAGAGAGGTGATGTCAATATCCCCATTTTATGGAAAAAGAAATGGAGGCAGGAAGACATTAATGTACCTGCACACAAGGTCACATGACTAGTCAGATCATGGACCCAAACACTCTATGTTCCTATTCTATGTCTCAAAACAATTGGGGAGAGGGGAGGAAATTAATAATACTTCACATTAGGTATGATAATATGGACTCTTTTATTCTCTTGACTCTCCACATAGCAATGAAGAGATTTTTAAACACTCGTCCCTGGATGTCACACATGCCGCCCTGGTGGATAAATTTTGGTACTTCGGGGGAAATAGAAGGAGCCAGAGATTCATTGAGCGCTGTATCCAGACCTTTCCCAACTTCTGTCTGCTGGGGCCCGAGGGGACTCCTGTATCCTGGGCCTTGATGGATCAGTCTGGAGAGATAAGGATGGGAGCTACTTTACCCAAGTACCGGGCTCAGGGCCTTGCCTCCTATGTTCTCAATTCCCAGATCCAGGCTACCAAAAAACTTGGCTTCCCCACCTACTACCATACTGACAGAGCCAATAAAATCGTACAGAAGATCAGTGACACTATGAATTTTGTCACCATGCCCTGTGACTGGAACCAATGGAAATGTGTCCCTCTATGACAATGGCCCTGAATACAATTGGTATCAGGAGTTGGGGGTGGGACTAGGCTTATGACTAGGAACAGATGGGTGGACAGAGACAAAGAATAAATTGCAGTCAGAAGTGTGGTGTGTACATGCAATGCCATAAAGAGAAATTAAGTCTTGATACAGGTCACAGCAGGGATGAACATTGAAAACAGTATTCCGAGTTTATCATAAAGTAAGTCAATCATAAAAGAACCAATATTGTATCCTATCAGTACTCTGATGTATGGTGATCAGAGTCTGACAGAGGCAGAGGGAGGGATAAAGAAGGAAGCACTGACTTTTCATTTGTAGTGATAGCAAATTTGACAATGCATATAGATGAAAGGAGCCTGAGCAGGCGAAGCAGGTGTGTTCATCTATTAAAGGCAGACAGGCTTTACAGGCCTGGAGAACTGTTTCCAAAAAGATTATAGCCAGGAAAACCCTATGGAGTGGTGCTACTGTGTAAGACATGGGTCAGCGTGAGCCAGAATTGATCCAATCAACAGCATTGGGTTTACTTTGGTTCTGATTGGCCTCACTGAAATGTACACATGAAATATGTTCACTTGGCAAATGTGTTACCTATACTTTCTAACAATTAAAAAAAAAAAAACTTACCTAGAAAAGGCTATTTGAAAATGATGCCAAGAATATGCTTTTGAAAAGAGGTCATTGTTTAGTCTTCCTAATTTTACTGAGTTTTTTGGTTTCTCTAACAATGGCACACTGTGCCATTTCATTATAAAGAGACTGCTTTTCTCATGACACTTTGTCTGTATGTAATCTATACCCTTGTACTTCTACATTATTCCTTACAACAAATAAGGCTTTGTGGAGATAGTTTATGGGCACTGTGGCAAACACATGGTGCGGTCAGACATGGCACAAGAATGAAGGGGTTTTCCTAATATATATAATGCTGTTCTTGTTGAGTGCCATTGAGTCAGTTCCAATTCATAGTGACTCTGTATAGGATTTCCAAGGAGAAGGTGGTGTGTTTGAACAGCTGACCTTGTAGTTAGCAGTCCAGTGCTTATCCTGTAGCACCACACCAGGACTTTACTATATATAACAACTTTTTTATTAATCCAAACCACAAACATGATATTATGTTTTCTCATCTCATGCAATACTTCAAGAGTCCGCTGAGCTCCTTTCTTAGTCGCCTGTGATGGGCACAGAATGATTTTTTTTTTTTTTTCAGTTTCAAACAGATGCAAGATGGTGCCAACCCATGGGTACCTGTCTATGCTTTTAAATTCAGCTTGTGGCTTTTATTATTCCATTTACAATTTATTTATACATATAATTTTATTTTAGACTTTTCAGATATTTAAATGTTTTTCTATCTTTAAATCTACAGACTTGATGGGATCCTAAGCTATGTACATTTATTTCATTTAAAAGACCTTGGTATTTGATGGAATCTTTCATTATTTCATGTTTTTTTTTTTTTAAGGTTTTAACAACTCCTAAGTATTTGGAGTCCAAGTATGGCACTGTAGGTTAAGTACCAGACTGCTAACTGAAAGATCAGAAGTTCAAACCTACCTCAGAAACCCTGTACAGCACTTAACACCAACAGGCATAGTCAGCTGCCAATCGCAAGGTCAAGGCTCCCTGGTAGCAGAGTGGATTGTGAGCTGGGTTTCGACCAATAAGATCAGCAGTTTGAATCTACCAGTCATTCTGTGGAAGAAAGATGAGGCTTTCTGCTCCCATCAAGATGTACAGCCTTGGAAACCCTGTACAGGGTTGCTATGAGTCAGAACTGACTCGGTGGCACACAACCACCACCATCAGCACAAGGTCAGTGCCTCAAAATCATCAGCTTCTCCATGGGTAAAAGCTAAGGCTGTCTGCTTCTAGAATGGTTTCTAGTCACGGAGATCCTAAGGAGCAGTTCTTTGCTCTCCTAGAAGGTCCCTATGAATGACAAGCGGTAGGATAGCAGTGGGTTTGGATTTGGTTTGGTGGTGTAGTGAAACTGCAAGGTCAGCAGTTTGAACCCACCCACCACTCTGACAGAGGAAGATGAACTGTCTGCTCCTGTAAAGCTCTACTGCCTCAGAAACTCTATGGAGCAGTTCTACTCTGCAGAGTCAAAACCAAATTGGTGGCAATGAGTAAAGATATTAAATGGGCAAATCTGTTTTGAAAGAAATACAGTCAGAAGCCTCCTTAGAAGTAAGAATAGCCAGATTTCATCCAACTTATTTTGCATATGTTATCACATGGGACCAATCATGTTTGGTAAAGTATGTTGTTGTTGTTGTTAGGTGCCATCGAGTCGGTGCTGACTCATAGCGAACTTATGCACAGCAGAATGAAACACTGCCCAATCCTGGGCCAACCTCACTACTGTTGCCATGCTTGAGCCCATTGATGCTAAAGAAGAAGATCCTCAAAGAGATGAATTGACATAGTAGTTGTAACAATGAGCTCAACATAGCTCAAATGACTATGAGGATGACAGAAACCCTGCAACATTTTATTCTGTTATACATTGGGTCATGAGACATAACTGACTCGGTGGCATCTAACAACAAGTATATTTAAGAGTCCCTGGGTGGTCCAAAAAGTTTGTGTCAACTATTTAACCTGAAGGTTGATGGTCCAAACCTACCCAGTGGAAGAAAATTCTGTAAAGTTTCCCACCACTATCAAATTGATTCAAACTCCTGCCAACCCTATAGGACAGGATCAAACTACATCACAATGTCTTCAAGGCTATAGTCTCCACAGAAACAGACTGCCTTCTCTGCCTTCTGTGGAGCAAGTGATGGATTCAAACCTCTGACCTTGAAGTTAGCAGCCCATCACTTAACCCACTGTACCATCAGAGCTCCTTCTGTAAAGGTTGTTGTTATTGTTAGGTTCCGTGGAGTAGATTCCGACTCATAGTGACTTTGTATAGGGTTTCTGAGGAGTGGCTGGTGAGCTTGAACCACTTACCTGGAGGTTCAAACTGACTTTGCAGTCCAGCACACTAACACACAGTGTTACATGCAGCAATTCTACTCTTTAATATAAGGGGTACCCATGAGTCAAAATAGTCTCATCAGCAAGATTTTAGTTTGGGTGGTGCAAACTGGGTTGCTAACCAAAATATAACAGTTCAAATCCTTAGATTTGAGACACCTTAGAAGGAAAGCCTGGAGATCTACTTCTGAAAAATTACAATCGTTGGAAACCCTATTCTGAAACAGGTTGGGTTCCCATGAGTTGGACTCAGTGGCAACTGGTTTTGGTTAAGTACCTTTAAAATGATAAGTGATTTGTTTTTAATATTTCAGAAGGGGTTTCTGGCTGTCACAAACTATGATGCCATTTTACTATTGTCTTCCTTGAGTCAGAAAACACCTCCTTAACCAGATGATGAAAGTTAACATTGCTGTTGTTGTGAAGTGCCGTCCAGTTGGTTCTGACCCATAGCGACCCTGTATAGGGTTTCCAAGGAGCGGATGGGAGCTTGAACCGCTGATCTTGCAGTTCAAATGACTTTGCAGTCCAGCGCATTAACCCACAGCGCCACACCAGGTCTCCATTATCAAAGTTCAAATTGACATCATAGGCTTTCTGATTTAATCTCCAGAAAAAGACACCTCATCCATTCTGTGTTCCTGTTAAAATGGCAAATCCTGAACCTAGCCATAAGAAAACAGTGAAACAAATCCAAATTGAGGGAGAGTCAACAAAGCAATTGGTCTCTACACTTCAAAGGAAAGGAGAAATCAAGACGCTATTACAGATTAAAGAAGATTAAAAAAAAAAATACAAATGAACCTTGAGGACATTATGTTGAGTGAAATTGTTGTTGTTGTTGTTGTTATGTGCCGTGGAGTCGGTTCCGGCTCATAGCAACCCTGTACAGGGTTTCCAAGGCTGTAATTCTTTACGGGAGTAGAAAGCCTCATCTTTCTCCTGCGGAACAGCTGGTAGTTTCAAACTGCTGACCTTGCGGTTCACAGTCTGATTCATAACCACTACACTACCAGAGCTCCTTAGTCAGTCACAAAAGGAGAAATATTGCATAGGACCACTACTGTAAAAGACTAAGAAAAAGAACCCACACTAAAGGGAGAGTATTCTTTGCTGGTTGCTAGGAAGTGGGGCGGGGGGAGGGGGTGGGGGGAAGGAGGGGTAGGTGGAGCACAGGGCAGGGAATAGAAACAGGATAGTTTGGGTGCTGGGAAGGGGGACAATATGCAAGAAGGAGGAGGGGAATGGAAGAACAAAGCACATGGGAGAACAATTAGACAGATTTGCATGGGTTAAACAGGACAGAGGTAAATAATGATGTACGCACAACCTTGGAACAACAGGGCTCTGGGATACAGGAATTGAGACATGGTTGGAATGGGGAAAAGGGGGGAATAATGTTAAGATGCTTGGTGTCTTTTGAATCTTGGGTTTCCTTGCATACCATTATAAATTAGACACTGGAGGGGGAGAGAAAGGAATAGTCAGAAATATCACCATAGAAAGCTTGTAAGTCTGTCTTCTGCCTAAAACTGATTGGAATACCTAAAATGGGGCTACAACATGCCCAGTGAAGGAGGCTTCCTGCGGAGCTTCTACATTACATAAGACTATAGGTGGAACCCTGAACAGCATCCAGAATCTTCAGAGGTGGGAAATTTCCACTAGGAAGGACTGGCAGAGCAGCCTGGAGTAACTAGAAGAACAGAAGATACTTCTTGAAAGAAAGACCGAGAGGAATTACTACAAGAACAAGCAAGTTGCTCGCCCAGGAGATTTCAAGGCAAGTGGTCGGTTCCCCTCAGTGTAAACCCCCTTCCAAGACTAAGACTCAGTGGGAATACATGCTCTGATTGGTGACCATGTTCATCACCCATAAGGGGAAGTAAGGGAAAAACAGCAGTGAAACTGCAAGCTAAGCCCTACAATGTTCAATAGACTTCTGTAAACTTGGGTGAAGACCTGGCTGGCCAGCAGTGTGGCAAGACCTGGGGACTCTTGGGCCC